GTTTCAAATTATAGTTTCACCCATTGATTTGAGTGTATTGTTTGTTTTGAGCTTTCAAATCATAATTCCACACCCATTTCTCAAAACTCAATTCAAAACATAATCATTACTTTTCAAAACTCATAACCAAACACGTAATTCAAAACTCTTTTCAAAATTCAATTCAAATCAATATTTTAATTTTTTAAATATTTTAAATATTTAAATATGTTACGATTTTTTTAATTTTTTGAATATTTTTAAATATTTTAATTTCAAAATATTACGATTTTAATTTTTTAAATTTTTAAATATTTTATAAAAATAAATTCAAACTCTATTTTATAAAAATATTTTTAAATATTTTAATTTTTTTTGTTATATATTTGGTTACGATTTAAGTGTAGAGTTATGAAAGTAGTATGGAGTTTCGAGTTATGTGTTTGGTTATGAGTTTTAAAGTTTTGTTTTATATGTTTGGTTACGATTTTAGTGTAGAGTTGTTTTTAAATTTAAAATATTAACATTTTAAATTATTTAAATTTTTACGATTTAAATTTTTTGAATATTTATTTTAATTTTTTACTTGTTAAATTTTTTAGATTATTTAAATTATTTATATATATATATATATGATTTAAATTTTTTGAATATTTATTTTGAAAAAAAAAATTATTTCCTTTCTAGTATTTTCAATTAAAAAATTGATTAATGTTATTTTCTGTTAATAATAATTTTTTTTAATTGAATTTTAAAAAGAGTTTGGTTGTGAGTGTTAATCAGAATTTTCAATAGTATAAAAGTAGTGTGTTTTGTTATGAGTTATAACAATTTGAATTAAGTTTTGAAAACTTTTTTCAAAACTCATAACCAAACAAATTTTCTTACTTTACATGTCAAATCAAACTTTCAAAACTCAATTCCACACTCAATTCAAAACTCAATTCAATACTCTATTCAAAAACCATAACCAAATAAATTTTCTACACTCAAATCATAATTCCACAACTCACAAACTCAAAATACAACTCACACTCTCAAATCATATTTACAAAACTCTACCAAACGCAACCTACGAATCTCGAATGTGTTCTTAGGTTGCTTCCATTCTGGCTTTCATTCTATCACTGCCTCTACTTTAGTTGGGTTCACCGATACTCCATTTTCAAACACCACATGACCCAAAAATTTTACTTCATCCATCCAGAATTCACATTTACTAGCTTTAGCGTACAGTTGGTTCTCCCTCAAGGTTTGAAGTACTATTCTCAAATGTTGTTCATGGTCTCCTTCAGACTTGGAATACACCAAAATATCATCAATGAAAACTACCACAAATTGATCTAAGTAAGGCGTGAATATTTTGTTCATTAAACTCACGAACACACTTGGTACATTGGTTAGGCCGAATGGCATCACTACGAATTCATAGTGGCTGTAACGGGTTCGAAATGTAGTCTTAGAAATATCTTCTTCCCGAATACGCAACTGGTGATACCCAGATCTGAGGTCTATCTTTGAGAAACACTTTGCCCCTCTAAGCTGATCGAAGAGGTCATCAATCCTAGGTAGTGGATACCGATTCTTAATGGTGACTCTATTGAGTTGGCGGTAATCAATGCACAACCTAAGTGTCCCATCTTTCTTCTTAGCGAATAAGGCTGGTGCTCCCCATGGGGACATGTTTGGCCTTATAAATTCCTTGTCCAACAATTCTTGTAACTGTGTCTTTAGCTCTCTCAGTTCGGCTGGTGCCAAACGATGTGGTGCCATTGAGATCGGTGATGTGCCAAGTTGTAGTTCGATGGTAAAGTCTACTTCTCTTTTTGGGGGTAGTCTTGGTAATTCCTCTGGAAATACATCAGTATACTCACGTACCACATGAGGTAGCCCTAGTTCCATATGGTCTTTGTCTTCCAGAACTAAGCTGGCTAACCATCCAGCTAGGTGATCGTGCCACTTTGATTTTCGAAGCGTCGGTGATAGGGAATCTTGTCTATCCCCCTTAAATTGGAATCGCATTCCGTCCTGAGAATAAGCAGTCACCGTCTTTCGATAGCAATCAATGGTGGCTCTATGGGCTGATAACCAGTCCATTCCTAGGATAACGTCAAAGTCTGACATTTCCATGACTCGTAGGTCGCAAGTTAAACGCAAACTGGAGACTCCTAGTTCACATGATTTGCATATGAGATCTACTCGAGTTTGACCTCCTAGTGGTGAGGCTACACTCATAGGTATTTCTAATCGTTCAGGCTCTAATCCCAAAGTTGTAACACATGAAGCAGATATAAAAGAGTGTGATGCTCCAGAATCAAACAAAACTTGTACATAAGAGTTCATAAGGATAATATACCTTGAATCACTGAAGGATTTCCAGTATCTTCTCCTTCTTGGAGTGCAAAGACTCTTCCAGTGGCACCTTGATTTGGCCCTCAAGGTTTCCTTGTATTGGCATCTCCTGGTTGTTGAGCCCTTGGTTGTCCCATATTCCGATTAGCTGGCGGCTGACCTCTATTGGATTGGGAATTTTGCACAGCTCGCGCTCCTTGAGTTAGCGCGCATTTGTTCCATTGAGTGGCTCCTCCTTGATTAATGTAGTAGCCTGACCTTTGAGGACAATTGTTCCTAAGGTGCCCTTCTTGGCCACATTCATAACATCTCCTAGCCCCTTCCCTACTACGCTGTTCAGAATTATACCCTTGATGTTGTTGTGGTCTCCTAGCATAAGGTATCGCAGTAGCAGGGGTCCTATTGTTACTTGAAGGTCCTCCGCTTCTTTGCTGGTGGGCTCTAGACTGCTGACCTTGAGTCCTTGCAGTGTCCATCTTTTCTCTTTCTAGAACAAGAGCCCTATCTACTACCTGTGCATAAGTAGGTAGTTGCACTGCGACCAGCTTGTCTCGGAGTCTCGAGTTGAGTCCCCACTCAAAGCGCCTTACCTTATCTGTTTCATTTGCCACTATAGCTGTGGCATGGCAAGAAAGGGCCTCAAACCGATTGGCATACTGTGTCATAGTCATGCCCCCTTGTTTCAGTTGGAGAAATTCTTGGATTATCTCTTGCCTCACCGAGTTTGGGAAGTACTTTTCCATAAACAATTCCTCGAACTGTCTCCAAGATAGTTCTGCCACTTGACGACTTTCCTTGATCATTGTCCACCAGAAATCGGCCTCCCTTTCGAAGAGAATGAGGCGAGGGACACTTGGTCTTGCTCATTCTGAATTTCTAACATCTCTAATATTTTCTTCACTTGCCTTATCCATGCCTCCGCTGAGTAAGGATTTGGTTCTCCGAAAAATTTCTGGGGCTTAAGTTTTTGAAATTTTGCTATTAATTCTGCCTTGCTGTTTTCACGCCTAGGTTGGTTTCTTAGTTCATTAGTAATTGCCCGAACGAAATTCATGACGTCACTGTGGGTGTTGTTGTCGTTGTTGTTGTCATTGTATCCATTTTCCCTTGTTCTTCGTGCCATTTTCTGCACGAAGGATATTAATTGTTTACTATCGGTACAATGTAAGTACTTATTTAATTATTTATTTTATGCGAACAAGCATTCACTAAGTTTAACTAGAACTGAAACTTTTCATTGCAACAAAGGATCGGTTACATGACCGAAAATTACATTTATTACCAGACCGAGGGGATTATTTCACCCCATTTCATAACCACTATTAGACTAGGCTTTTACAATGAAATTCCAACAAAATTGTTTATCCGCCTAGTCTACCCTCTTCGGTCTCTCATTCCCTCAAACAAAAAGCCATGGGCAGTGCTGATGCATTTGCCAGGCATGCTCGCAACTCTCATCATACAGCCCATAGCATTTCCAACGGAATAACAGCTTGAGCCCTCCAATTCCCGCATGTTGGCCCAAGATCTTTACAGGGACTTCTTCGTAGGTGAGTGGGTTGGAGAAATCAACTGTCCCGTTCGTGGGTACGAGCTTTCTAGCCAATGGGGCTGCCAAGAAGATGTCTCGTTGGTGGAAGAAATTGGTGTAATTGTTTTCTAGGGCTGGTGGTAGCGGTCCCACTTCATACATGGCCCTTGCCAACTCCCGGATAACTCGCACAGGCCCCAGATATTTGTCGTCCCCCCTTCGGTGTTTCCACTCGTAAGGTATTAGTGGTTCTAGTTTAACATACGCCTCTAGTCCTATCGGGAATGCCTCCATCTACACTACGTACCCCGAGTCCGCTTTACCTTCTTCGAAGGCATATTCAATTGAGGAGATGGGGTCGGACTCAGTGTCACTTCCCGCCCAACCAAACTCTTTTGGCAGAATGGCGGCCAAGGGTTCCACGACTTCCACTTTCGCGTCTACCTCTGCGTCTTCTTCGTCTAGCGGTTCTTCTTCTGGATATTCTTCCGGATCTTCCTCCTCAAGCTCGGGCTCCTCTTTATCCTCTTCATCCATCGTCTCCTCTTTTGGATCCTCATCCGGGTCCTCTTCCTTATGGACTGACTTTGAAGTTTCTGCCCCTACCTCTGGGTCGGTTAATAAGGCCTCTTCTTCAGGTTCAGGATTCGAGAGCCAGTCCTCGTTATGAGATGGGTTTGACATCCTACAAGGAGAATACAACGCTGTTACACTCTCAGTATAGTCTTAGGTTATCAAATGTTTTTAATTAAAGTGTAGTAAATGACACGTGCTTATGCCTCACTACTACAAAAAACAGTTAAAAATCACACTTTGACAAATGAAAATATCTCACTTTTATTAGAAGTGTGATAAAAAAAATTAGATTAATATTTTAATCACACTAAATTTGATTAAGTGTGATAATATTTATTTTTTATGTCACGTTTCTATTAAGTGTGATTATATATATATATATATATTTAATCTCACCTTCTAAATAAGTGTGATTATATATAATTTTTTTAATCACAATTTCTAAATAAGGGTGATCAAAAGTTTTTTAGGGGAATATTTACTGCCTAATTTTATTTTATGTTTAATGTTATTAATTTGTTTTTTATTATTATTTCTCTGTATGTATCGAATGATACTTACACCCAAGGAAATACTAATCAACACCAGTCTCTTGCTCTCACTATCGTCGACTGCCCATCGGTCTCCTCTCATCGACTAACCATCGGCCATCGTCGCTCACCGTCTCATCGCCACGATCGGTACACCGTCCCAGACCCATTAATTTTGAATCAGGTTTTCTTATTTCTCTCTCTGTCTCTCTTGCTTCCTCTATTTCTCTATTTGACTCTAGCTGTAGGATTTGTTTGTTTTTGTGTTTTGATGTTGTATGGGTTTGATATATGGGAAACGAGTAAATGGGTTATGAGTTGTGATCTACATTTAGGGTTTTTTTTTTCCCCTCTTCTTTCGATACAGAGGCTTTCAAGACCCAATCAACTTTTAGTGGTTAAAATGATACATGGCTGAGATCATTTATACTTTTGAAGTATTGGGTACCTACAGATTGGTGTAGTTGAAGATATTCTACAGATGAAAGATGAGAATCCTAGCCATAATGAAATCATTTGTGAAATACCTCACAGCATGGGAGAAAGTTCTCTTGATGACGAAGCACCTATTTTCTTGTTTGTTTATGGGGTAAGGTATCGTCATTTTTCAATATTTTAACCATATATACTATGGGTATGTTTGGTTTGCATTTGGGAGATGAGTTTTAGAAAAAATTTTCTAAAAAATTGTTTGGTTTGAGTTTTTCTCAAAAAATTTCCAAAATCACTCTCTTTTTTACACATCAATCAATCACTTTTTCTCTCTCCTCTCTCCTTCTCAATCACTTTTTCTCTCACACACATCTACTCAAATTCTCCCAAAATATCAAATTATCTCAAACTCCAAAAAAACAACTCTCCCAAAATATACAACCAAACAAACCAAAAAAATCCCCAAATTTTTTTTCAAAAACAACTCTCCCAAAAACAAACCAAACAAGCCCTATGTACTTTGTTTTGTATTTCTGAAGCTAAGATGAAATGCTTGTCTCAAAATTTCTAATTTTGTATTTTTCTATGATTTCCTATGCAATTGCAAATTTTAAACAAAAAAAATTTCTCCTTCCTTAGAGATGAATGGATGAAGTTTCTTGCAATGACTTGCACAATTTAATACTGTATTCATGTGAACTGCTAATTTTAACAAGAAATTAAATTTATTGGGTCCCTTTCACCTTGATTCTCATTGTATTCCATGTTTTTAACTTTCTATTAATTATTAACCGATCTTGTTTCGACATGGTTTGAAGGAAGACCACTACGAGTTGAGATTAACAGTGTTCAACTTCCTTTCATTTTTCCCCGAAATATTGTTTTTATTCTGAACCTTGATCCCATTTCTTAGCTTATCAAGATGAGTAATTCTATTTGCCAGAACTTGCAGTAACTAATGTATTAAAAGTTAGAAATTATTGCATGTGGAACTTACATGGTGGGCAGGTATTATAGATCCTGGAGACAAGTGTGATACAAGGGATTCAACAATTAGAGATGGATGATAAGATTAAACTTACTGATTACATTAACGAAGCACATGCACTACTTGCCTTGCAGTCCAAGCTCAATAAGAATCCTCGAATTCAAGCTGCTGCTAGATCCCATGGCATACCAATTTATGTTATGAAGGTAACTTCCCATAAATTTTACTTAGCCTTACATATCCCTTGTTAATGAGTTCTTATTGAAAATTTTCCTTTCCATCCTCCTATTCTTCAATTCACATTACATAATATGTTTTTTGTAGACAAGTTCATTGATGCAGTTGACGAAAGCCATACGGGCATTAATAACTGATCATGAAGATGATTTTAAGGATTTTGAATCAGATGACAAGATAAATGCACCTCAGAAGATTGAAGCCTTGGAAGTGAAAATGAGTTTTCTTTTTGCCTTCTTCTCTATTTCATCTTTCTCACTGCATGGCTACATGTTATTGACACTCATTAACTGAAGGGTTTGCATGTACCAAACTGAAGGAGATTTTCAGTTTGGTGTAGTACGCTAATTATGTGTTGTTGGGCTTGGATTCAATTCAATCACTTCATTAATTTAGCCGTTCTGTATTAGGGGGGGACTATTTACAAAATGGAAAACTGTCTTAGCACCCAACATTTTACTTGGGCCTATTTCTACCCAGAGGCAGTGCTACATGTTTTTCAGGGTATTCAGTTGAATATAGTTCAATACTCTGACTTTGTTTTGCCTTATGTTTACACCTTAAAATTTGAACACCCAAGTTAACATATTTTGAATACCCATTCCACAAATCTTGAATATCTAACTCACCCACTTCAAATTTCGCACACCCACTGTATAATCCACCTGAAAGAATAGCATCCACTATTGCTTCTAAATTAGAATGAACTCCCATCTCATTCTTGGAAATTATCTCTACACCACAACTAAATGTTGAGGGTCCTTTCCTTTCTAGCACTGTTTTCTGAACACGCCTCCGGCTTGCTTCTTCATTCCCTAGTGTCACACTCTGAGAAATGGATATATTAATGTGACTAGTCTACATACCAATAAGCCACTCCTTCCTAGAAAATTTTCGTAATTGAAATAAAATAGTCATAAAAATACAGTCAGAATGAGTGTTTGAACATAATCTCTGTATGATATTCATATTATGTGAGAGTATGACACAAATGAAATATATATAGCAACTTCCATATTTCGTCGTCGGATTCGCGATTTCCTTCGGATTCGCGTTTCTCTTCGCGTTTCGGACGTTTTCTACCGATCACATTTTCGTTTTGGTGCCTCGTTTGGCGTTCTAGCCTTTTCGGGGTTTGTTCCCCTCACTTTCCTCTTCATTTCCGTGCCTTTTCACATTTCGGCCTTCCCGGCCATTTCCGACCCTCTCAGGAGTTGACTTTTTGGTTGGCTCTTCGTATTCCGACTCGGTTTCCCTTTTCCGGGCCATTTTCACACCATTCTCTACATGGCGGACGACATTCCACGTGGCGGGACTCCCCCGAACCACGAGATGGATCCCGGGGTTGTCACACTCTGAGAAATGGATATATTAATGTGACTAGTCTGCATACCAATAAGCCACTTCTTCCTAGAAAATTTTCGTAATTGAAATAAAATAGTCATAAAAATACAATCAGAATGAGTGTTTGAACATAATCTCTGTATGATATTCATATTATGTGAGAGTATGACACAAATGAAATATATATAGCAACTTCCATACTTCATAATAAGTAATGTGAACAATGGGAACATTAGCACTAGAAAATAATAGATAACAATGAAATAGTCCTGGAATAAACTACATTAATATACTCACAGTAAACACCAAACAAGTTGAAGTCTCAGTTTCTATTAGATTCTATATATTAAAGTGACACTTGATTACACATCAAAAAGCACATGTTCTCTCACTTGTATTCCTCCAACAAGCATCTCCAATGAAGGATTCATTATTAAATTCTTGATTGTTACCCCATGAGCAGGGGTGACTAGCTGAATGCCACGTTATGCAATTGTGCTTGCAGCCACTACTTCAAGTTTTGTGTCAATTTCATCAATTACAATAACTTATGGCATATGGTTTTCAACTGCTTCAATAAGTACCTAGACATAAATCCTTTAATCAAAGGACAAAATATAACATAAATAAGATGGAGAAAAGATAATTATACTACTTTAGCATCAATCATGTTTTAATTTGATTGGGGGCAATGCCTTGGGCCACTATCGAGGGTTAAATAAAAATGTGAAGAAAACTACACATAGTCATTGCAGCTTGACCAATGGTTTGTTTCATAGTTAATGCTTTCATACTTCTTTTTTATGTGAGTTTGCAATAAGTCTTATGATTTCTTTTGTTGCCTTCATTCTTTTGATTGAATTGAAGCATATATCTATGGAATTGAGTAATTCCTGTGTATCATAATATTTCTATAGTTTCAGTGATTTTATGGTGCAGGTAAGGTATCTAGAACACATGGTGCTATTTTGATCAAAAAATTGAAGAGGTATTGGATCCAAAGCTACAATCTTGAAATCAACTCCTTGTTGTCCAGTCAACCAAGCAAATCCTAGTATAAGGCCAAAGTGGGTAGGTGGAGGCAGAGGGTGTAGAGCGATAAATCAAGATAAGAACGCTAAGCTTTTTGGTGCTGGCATTGGTGGCCGGGGACACACAGATTTGGATGCAGCAGTGAGAGAAGTGGCTGCTATTCCTGATGAGTTGGCAATAGAGAGAAATTCAGAAAAATGGCTGCTATTGAAGAGGAAGGAAGCACAAGTCCACTTCCTTAAAGGGTATGATTCAAATTGTTTTATTTTAATATCTAGCATTAGCATTTCTTTTTTACCTTATCTTACTCTATTTAATTTATACTTGTTGATTTTTTTTCTTCTTTAATTTGGCTTATTTATATATCTTATTTTTAGTGCACTACCTGCATCTTTCTGCTACAATGATGTTAAAGAATTTCAGCATAGCCCTCATTATCGGTTCACATACTAATCTCTCATCAAGAATAATGACATTAAAACCACCCTATTGTCATCCCAGGCAATTCCAACTTGCCTTTTACTGTTGACAACTTAGCCTACATAAGTCTTCTATCTTCCTTATCGTGGTGTTCAAAAACAACTGAAAAGGTCCACTGAGAGCCATCCTCTATGCTTCTAAACAAATAAGAAACAGACATCCTCCTTGATTAAACCCATGTCCCACAATATTAGAATACCACCTACAGTCTCCACTGCCCCAAGTAAAGCTCAGTCCTCTCATACGCCACCCCACAAACTCCTTACCAATTCCCTATCTATATATTCCATCTTTGTCTCTTGAAAACAAATAACAAAATAGAACCACGAAAGTGTTCCATCTATGAACAACCAATCTTTTATCCAAGTGACCCCTCACATTCCAAGAAATTAATTTGAGCTGCATAAGGGTGTTTTTGAGTATATTTTGTATTTGATAAAAGTTGATGTGATTCAATTGCCAGAGAGCACATTAGACTATTTCTACACGGCATCTTTGGGTTTGGGTTTTGCTTTTGTTTGTAGTTGTGATTTATGTCTCTGTTATGGTATTAAGTTATATGATAACCCTATTCAAGTTGCCACGAACTTATGTTAATTTGTTGGTAATGTTTATGAGATCTGCATTAAAGTCTAACAGTGTGCCAAGTGTCTAACAGAACAAATTGGAAATTGGAAACTTCTCTCTCTCTCTCTCTCTCCTTTTATCTTTATATACACTTTTAGAGTACATATAAAATTCAGAGGTGTATGATCAAATTTTAGTTTTCATTATCTTATTTCCACTCTGTGGCTTGATTTATATAGAGTTGAAGAGGTCTTTGTTCATGTATTACTCTAGAAATGTTTTTGAGTTGAATCCTATGAGTCCAATTGTCTATATCTTTGTGTTGAGCAGCCTAAGCGACTATAATGAAATTCCAGCCACTACTCATTTTTATGCAACTATTGGGTTCAATGTTCTCATTCAATATTTGAAACCTATCTACATGAAGATGGGTAAATATTTTTTGAGAAACCAACTGGGTTCCATGTGAGATAATTAAATCTCAGGTTGTGCCCTTGGAATAGGTTGTTCTTGACTTAGATGAAACCCTAGTATGTGCCTATGAAACATCTAGTTTGCCTGCTACTCTTCGTACTTGGGTAGTAGAAGCAGGATTGACATGCTTCGAATTGGAAAATGTATGTTCAAAGATTAGTCTTGATCACTCTCTCTCTCTCTCTCTCTCTCTCCTACTTTGAATTCTTGTTATAATATATTTATTTCTTAGTTTAACAATTATAGAATTTGAATATGTTACCAGTTGAAGGAAAGTGATGGAAATCCTAGGGTCAGTCATATGAGACAGTCTTTGAGCGTCCAGGTTTACACCAGTTCTTAAAACAGATTGGTGAATTTGTTGATATTGTTCTATTCATTGCCGGTCTTGAAGGTGCGCATGCTATTTCCAATTTCATGACATAGCTCACCCTCCATTCCCTTCTCTTCATATAAATTATAGTAGTTTTTTTCCTTTCATTTTTTTTTCCCTGTCAAAAAGACAAACTTCGTTACATAGGGGTGGGAATTGAATCCTAGGTAAAGGCCCAATCATCGGGCTATCTAAATGCTCTTGAATTATAAATACACTAGTTGAAACTCTTAAATTAGTGTAATGGTGCACACACATTCCATATTATGTTCACAGAATATTGTTCATATCTTGTTCATATCTTGTTCAATCAGTGAATCTCATTGAGATATTACCAAAAGTAGCCACCCTATCCCTAGTATTAAGACGACCAAGAATAGCTAACCAAATCACAAAGCTGGCCTTAGGGACTGAGTAAGGGCCCCAAAGAATACCAGCCCAACCCACTTTAGGACTTTTAACCCTCCACTGCTCCCAGGCAGAACCAATGCTGAATATACCATCTTGCCTAGGGAGACAAACAAGTCTATCAGGGTTCAAATGAGAGGGAGAGAAATCGACAGGAGTAGAGCTAATCATCCCCCTAATTTCCCATGGTTTTATGACTCTAAAATATTTGGCCATACATTGAAGATTTTCATTCTGGATTTATTGATTCTATGTATATGTCATATTTATATATGGTAATACAAATATTTTATACTAGTAACAATCAAAGTCGTTATTCCTTTTCTATTGATGCATGAGAAGTTCGATTTTGTCTTTTGTAAGACAAGAACAGTCTCTACAAAAATAGTAAGTTTATTCATATGCTTCTAGCGGTTTCTGAATTAATTTGTATTTTTATTTTTCAGGTTAGAAATTTCCTGGGTCAGAAATTTCCTGGAGAGATGCAAAATATGGTCAAAGAGTTCAAGAACTTAGTTTTTTCAAGTTTTTTTTTTCATTTTTTAATATATGTAATCATAGTTAAAAACTTTTTATTAATTTCTTTGTATATACTTTTGAACATTTAACTTTCATTCATGAAGTATATGACGTTATTCAATATATGGTTGTGATTCAAAATATAGTATACAGTGTGTTTTATATTCTTCAAATGCGCGTATAAAAATAATATTGATTATTCTTCAAATATGCCAAATTCTTTTTTTTTATCACATGTTTTATTAGTTATTAATCACACTTCAAAGATGTGATCCAAATATTTTTAATCACACTTAAAAGATGTGATCTAAATATTTTTAATAACACTTAAAGGATGTGATAAAATCATTTTTTAATGACACTTAAAAAGTGTGATTAAAAATGACCCCTTATAATCACACTACAAAAGATCACACTTTAATAAAACTTAAAAGGTGTGATTAAAAAACATACATTACACAAAAAAAGCGTGATCTTTATCTGTATTTGTAATAGTGCCTACCCAAGGTCTCAAGGGTTTCTAGACCTAAACTCTGATACCATGTTGTGACGCCCCAAAATTTGAGGACATCATGATAGGGTTTAAAACATAAAATAAATTTTCTTAATTAAGAATTCTCATCAATGTTGCCACCAAATTTACCATCATCCATTAATTAACAACACGAAAATTAAAAGTTCTTAAATTATAACTCCAATCAAACTTAAAACTTTGTTTTAGTACACAAATATAAAAAGACTAGAGAAAAACTAGAAAACTCAAAAAAATGGTTCATGGAATTTTGGGCATTCTTCAAGCTAACCAAGGCTGAATGTCGCCTTTCAAGGCCTCGGCGATGTCACGATCCAAACCCGTCCCTATGGGTTTAGCATCGTAACCGCCCAGTAATCCGAGATTACCGAAGGCCTGCTTAACAGTAATGACAGTGATACAGAGTTAAGGGGCTGGCAGAAGCCAAAACAGTAAGTAAAAGATGTCTAATGAGCTGTGACAGTCTGAATGCAAAAAGACTTTTATGAACAAGTCACATTCGTAACCAAAACACATTTACATACCAGATATACATACATACAAGTTAGGGATTCAATCCCTATGCCATAACCGTACAGTAGGCATCTATAACATCTATTACAAAATAGAGACAGAAGGGTGAATCCGAACACCCCAAAATAGCCGTAGCTTGAACGGACAAGGAACCTCGATGCGAGGCACAAAGGTTGGTTTGACAAAACAAGAGCTAACCCGGCGCTCCTAGCTCCGGTCCGGTGCCTGGACACCTACATATATATATAAACAGTGAGCTAAAGCCCAGTGAATAACAGTTATGTAAAGAGGTTAAGAATGAATGTCCTTTCAGTAATTAAACAGTCATATCAGTCACTTAGAGACCATAGCAGTTATATATGGTGCATCCTATAGCAAAACAGTACAGTAGGTCTTGACAGACCGAACAGTCAGTTGACGACCATCATAACAGTAAACAGTAGTAGTTCCAAACATGGGAACCGACAGAGATCTTTGTGACAATAACAGTAACAGTACAATAACAGTGAATTGCTATGGATGCCACGGATACAGTTTACAAATTGGACAAATATTCATTCATTAAACAATAACGTTTCAGTAAGCAGAACAGTTGATCATTCAGAAAATAATCATAATCGAACATATCTTTACAATATTGTTACTCACAGAGCACTGGGCTATAAGCAGCTAGTGGGCGTCCTCGGGTGCCAACCCTATACAATTACAGAACGAACACACACTACGTTACACACTCGGGAATCAACAACTTAGTCCCTATCTTGACTCGGTGTGGTTCTACATCAATATCCTCATTAAGGTGCCTTAAACTAGGCCTAGGAATGCCTAGGATGGAATGATGATGCAAAAATGCATTTTAAAACACTTTTCAAATTTTTGCTGGAACAGGGGTCTCGCTCGAGCGTGGCTTTCTACGCTCGAGCGGACATGCAGACAAAGGAACTCCGCGCGAGCGTGACTTCCCTCGCTCGAGCGGACTGTAAACTCATGAAAAAGTACTGGATGCATGCAATTTACGCTCGACGGACGCTCGACCCCCGCTCGAGCGTGAGACTCAGGTCCTTCCTCGAGCGTGAACTTTCTCGCTCGAGGGGGCTGTAAAACACATGAACTTCTGGGCATATGCATTTCACGCTCGAGCGTGACTTCCTACGCTCGAGCGAAAGTGCATGTACTCAGAGTGCACGCTCGAGCGTGAAGTCCTACGCTCGAGCGTGGGTCTAAAATCAGGAATCTCCAGATTGAACCTCAAGCATGAAATTCAACTTTTAAAGCTTCAAATTCGATCCCCTTGGGCTAATTTTCTGGAAAACTCTTGAAAACTCATAGTATAACATGTTTTGAAGATCAATTTGAAAAATCAAAGCCCAAAGGTAAGTCAATTAAACACAAATTTTAAATAAACTTCAAGAACAAGATATACATTTAACATGCATGTATTCAATTGAGTTCAAAGCTTCTAACACATGATCAAATGAGTCAATCCCTCCAAAATCATGATGAATTCATGAACTAAAACTAGAAAATGGACATGCATATGGCGCTTTTTATGAAAACAGCCTTAAATCCCAAGAACATGTATATGCATGCATGAATTAGCTACTCAAATCAACTCTTTAAACCAATTCTTGACTTAGATCACTGATGCCTCATGAACTATGCAAGATACAACTAGAATTCACAATCAAGAAGATGATTTCCTACCTTAGGTCTTGAATATCAAGGTATGGAAGCCCAATTCGCAATTATCCTCCAAATCTTCTAAGTCTTCGAGCCAAATTCTTGATGAACTAAATTTTCCCCTACTCTCCCTCTTTCTCTCTCGAATTGGTCTCTAGAGGAAATGGGTGAGATGGTGTAACAAAGTGATATAGGAAAAATCAATTAATGGCCTAAAGTGCCCACTTAATGGCAATATTGAAATAGACTTGAACTAATGTAATTTAGCTTTATTTAATCTAATTTAATCATACCAAATCGCATTTCAATTAAATCTACCATAAAATCACATAAATTCTAATTAGCATAAAATACCAATCAATTTGAGATTCAGCCGCCGATAAGAACTTCAATTTACAATTCGAAACTTAAAACATCTACAGATCGATCAAATGACAAACAGATAGAAATGTAAGTAAAGCAATATACTCTTGCAATCAATTTAGAATTTCAGTCAAATCAGTTACTTATCATTCTCAGTTACAGTTTAACATTAATCAGAGGTGAGGGTTATCACAGCCTTCCCTCCTTAAAAGAGTTTGGTCCTCCAAACTCGAATTACCTTCATTTTGGAAGAATACCGGATTCAGTAGGAACAATTCAGGATATCTTTTCATCATATCGTCTTCCCTTTCCTAAGTGGCATAGACGCCACCATCGTTTTTCCAGTCCACTTTCACTAACGAAATTTCTTTGTTCCTCAACTTCTTAATTCGTCGGTTTACAATCTGAATAGGCCGTTCTTCATAAGTGTAGTCATCACTTAGCACTACACGGGTAGGTTCAATAACATGGAAGGGATTCCGAAGATAATCCCTCAACATTGAAATGTGGAAGACATTATGCATATGCTCAATTTCAGGAGGAAGTGCTACTTGATACGCCACCGAATTAATCTTTTCAATGATCTCATACGGTCCAACATATCTCGGTGCTAACTTACCCTTGACTCTAAAGCGAGTCTGACCCTTCATTGGTGTCACTTTAACAAAAACATGATCACCCACTTCATATTCCCTGTCTCGCCTTCGAACATCCGCATAACTTTTCTGTCGGCTTTGTGCGGTTTTCAGTCTCTGTTGAATCAGTTTCACTTTTTCGGTAGTCTCATGTACAATTTTGGGCCCAAGCAAAGGCCCATCTCCAACTTCTGCCCAGCAAATAGGAGATCGGCATTTTCTGCCATACAAAGCCTTGAAAGGCGCCACACTAATGCTCGAGTGAAAACTGTTGTTGTAGGCAAATTCAGCTAAAGGTAAATGACTTTCCCAATTTCCTTGGAAATCAAGAACACACATACGCAGTAAATCCTCTAGAGTCGGGATAGTCCTTTCTGACTAGCCATCTGTCTGAGGATGGTAGGCACTATTCAGTTTCAATTCAGTACCCAATGCTGTCTGACGACTTTGCCAAAATCTCGATGTAAACTTCGAATCCCTGTCAGAAACAATAGATACATGCACTTTATGCAACCTAACAATCTCGTCAATATAAATTGTAGCCAATTTGTCCGCATTATAGATTGTCTTGACAGGTAAGAAGTGAGCAAATTTAGTCAATCTATCAACAGTAACCCAAATTCAGTCCATACCTTTACTAGAGCGAGGTAAACCGACAATGAAGTCCATAGTAATATGTTCCCATTTCTACTCCGGTATTGGTAAGGGCTGAAGTAAGCCTACGGGTCGTTGATGTTCAGCTTTAACTTGTTGGCAGTGAAGACATTTTGATACAAAGTCAGCAATCTCTTTCTTCATTCCGGCCACTAGAAATTCAGTTTCAAGTCTTAGTACATTTTCTTATTTCCTGGATGGATAAATAGTTTCGAATTGTGGCCCTCTTATAGAATTCGTTTTTTCAGTTCAGAATCATTCGGTACATACAACCTTTCCTGGAATTTCAGCACATGTTCTCAAATTTAAAGTCCGGCCTCGGTTTGGACTCTCGTTCATCAATGACCATTTTCAAAAAGTCATCATGTTGCTGCTTCTCTTTAATCTCCTCAATCAGTGCCGGTTGAGCAGAAATAGCGGCTAAGGTTCCACCTTATTCACGCAAAACAATCTCAACTTCAAAATTTTCAAGGTCACATAGCAATTTTTTCTGCCCGGTGAGTAAACAGGCTAAATTTCCAACTGATTTCCGACTCAGTGCATCGGCAACGGTGTTAGCTTTCCGCGGATGGTACAAAATTTACAAGTCGTAATCTTTTATCAGTTCTAACCATCTCCGCTGCCTCATGTTCAATTCTTTCTGTGTGAAGAAATATTTCAAGCTCTTGTGATCTGTATACACTTCACACGTTACCCCATAAAGGTAGTGACGCCAGATTTTCAATGCAAATACCACTGCGGCAAGTTCTAAGTCCTGGGTCGGGTA